AAAATACTAAGTATATGCTGAATTGTTATTGTGTAAAAATCATACTGAATAAATAAATAACAAAAATAATAGAATCAGAATAGAACCTCTTTTTCTTTTACTGTTATATTTTTATTTGGAAATGTTTATATCAGTTCAGTGGAATTAAGTTTTAAGAGACACTGGATGCCATTACTTCAGATATCATTAGTTTATTACAAAAGAGAGACATGGAAATTATTTACATGATCAGATTTCAGAACTTCAGTGAAAGGGGCAGCTTCACCTGATGCCATGTCTGTCAATAGTGATTTATTTCAGTCTACATCCTTTCCAAGAATGTCACCATCTCTAAATAAGAAATTATCCTTGTCGTCTAGAACTACTTTGGTGCCTCCATATTCTGGGAGAAGAACTTTATCTCTAACTTCCACGCTAACTGGTTGAATCTCTCTGCCCTTTCCTTTAGAGCCAGGTCCAACTGCTGCTACTATTGCTTGCCATACTTTTCCTTGAGATTTTTCTGGAAGCATAATGCCTCCTTTGGTTATAGTTTCCGCAGCACTCCTTTCAACTAATACTTGGTCAAAGAGGGGGAGAAACTTTCTAAATGCCTGTCCTGCCATGACTCTGGCAGCAGCACTTCATACCATGCTCTTGTGCCGCAGCTGGAAGGAGAGACCTGCAGTGTGGTCTTCTGAACACATGAACCAGAATAGAACCTCTTTTAACATTTTCTGCCTTTTGGTTTCTCATAATGGCAATTTCTATGTTGCTTGCTGAACAAAAGAAATTCAAATGACTTAGTGCCATTGTACCAGTGTTGAATGCTGAGGTTAGAATTATCTTTTAAGCATGAGATCAAAATTCATAAAACCTAATGAAATTTCCAATTCTGTTTAGAATATCAATNCCATGACAATGAACCTGAAGATGCACATGAAAAATTCAAATAAAATTTTCATGAAATATGAGAGCAGGGAAAAAATGAATAATTTCTTAAATTACTTCTTTTGCATGGTTTTAAATATGTATATATAATTAAAGTACCCTATTATATATTTCCTTAAGGTTTACATATTCAAATTAAACTAAATATTTGAAAAAAAAATTCTCTCTGGGAAATTGGAAGATGGCTTAATATTTGGGGCCACCCTATGTGCACAGGAGTTAACATAGCAGGCCTGAGGCTGCTATCCTTAAAAGGCCTACTTGCAAGTTTAGCCCTTAGATTAGGGACATCCAGGAACTCAGATTTTGGGACAGTTTCCTGATTCCTTATTTCTTATTTTCTGATAACAATGGCTCACTATGTCTGTTTGTATAAAACTATCTGGTTTTTGCTGACCACCACATTCCTTTGGGGAGGCTGTGGAATTTTGGTCATGCCACGTACATGGTGCCTATGTGACCAGACCCCAATAAAACCCCAGGCATTAGATGGGAGAGTGAAAAAGATGAAGAGGTTAAGTACAAATTGGCAGCTCAAAACAGTCATGGGGATGTAAAGTACAGCATAGGGAATATAGTCAATAATATTGTAATAACTGTGTATGGTGTCAAGTGGGTACTAGACTAATCGGGGGAGATCACTTCATAAGTTATACAAATGTCTAACTGCCATGCTGTACACCTATAACTAATATAATATTGAGTGAAAATTAAAAACAAAATCATTGAGTCTCTAATGAGCTTCTCTTGTATAGTGAACATTTCACATGGGCTGTCACAAATTGTTGCTCGGGGAATCCAGTGTGTGTTGTGTGTGTGAGTCAACTGGGAGAGGGTTCTTGGAAGTTTGTGTCTGGTTTCCTCCAGACTTTGTCCCATGAGCCTTTTGCCTTTGCTGATCTTGCTTTATAATCAGTTAGAATATGTCATAACTATGAGTACAACTAGACACTGAATGCTGGCAGTTCTCCTAGTGAGTCATCAAACCTGGGGCTCATGTTGGGGACCCTCAACACAGCTTCAGTTTAGGCTTGTCTGATATTTGGACTTACACAGGTCACTCCAGTAATCAAAATAATCCTCTAGGGCACCTTACAACTGGAATTTCCATTCCCAAGGGATTCTCCTATTATAAGTGTGGCATTTCTGAGAAAAAGTGAGGGAATTCTCTCTTCCCCCATCCAACCTTGAAGTGCCTCGTGCATTTTTCTACCTGGCCTACAGGTAAGATTTCTTTGCATTAGAAAAACATACAATAAAAGTATACCACAAGACAGCAATCTAGCCTCTCATCAATGGAAAAAGAAAATAAATACCGTATAAACCATGTAGTTCATCAAGTAATCAATTTTAGTTCTTTTAAATCTGGTTTTCCCACTATTCTTCATTATTTTAGAGTCAGCACCTAAAAATGGAAAGTTCAATGCAATCAACAATTGTTAAAAAAGCAATTCACTGGCATATCAGTAAAATTACTCTTCTTTTGGTTTCGATAGAGAAAGAACAGAAAAGGAACCCCCTCCTTTAAATCTTGAAAGTGCATATCAGATCAACTTCCCAAGAGACTCTCTGAAAGTA